GCATCTCCAGCCTTTGGCATGAGATATGATCTCCTTGATAATGCATCGGACAACCCTTGTTGCTTCCCAGGCTGATAAGTAATAACAAAGTCGAACCTGGATAGCGACATACTCCACTGAACTTGACGCCGATTCAAAACCCCAGCCGACATAAAATACTCCAAATTCTTGTGATCCGTATATACGGTCACTGGATGTGCAGTTCCTTCGAGAAAGTGGCGCCACTCTTGGAAAGAATCTACTATAGCAAGGAGTTCCTTATCGTGGATCTCATAGTTGATCTCAGCAGCAGAGAATTTTCGAGAATAGAACGCAACTGGATGGAGCTTCTCATCTACACCCATCTGTGAAAGTATAGCTCCCAAAGCAAAATCCGAAGCATCTGTCTCCAAATAAAAGGCCTTTGTAAAGTCCGGATGTACCAAGATTGGAGCTGTAGTAAATACCATCTTCAAATCTTGAAATGTTTTTTCTGCGATAGGTCCCCATTCGAGCTTGTCCTTACACGTTAACCGAGTGAGGGGGGCAGCAACTTGAGAATAATTCTTGATGAAGATCCGATAGTATTTAGCAAATCCAAGAAAACATTGTACGTCCCTAACCGTCTTCGGAACTTCCCAAGACATGATTGCTTCCACCTTCTTTGGATCCATCTTCAAGCCTTCCGTAGTCGCAATGAATCCCAAAAACTCCATCTCAGTTTGGTGAAATAAGCACTTCTCCAATTTGGCATAGAGTCCTCGCTCCCGTAGTTTTTTGAGTACCAGACGAACGTGCTTCTCATGTTCTTCCTCATTTTTAGAAAATATCAAAATATCATCTAGATAGATGACAACAAAATCGTCTAGATGCTCTCGAAAGATGTCATTCATCATGTGTTGAAAGACCGCTGGAGCATTAGTAAGACCAAATGGCATGACATTGTATTCAAAATGGCCATACCTTGTTCGAAACGCTGTCTTCCATTCATCTCCTTCCTTAATTCGCACAAGGTTGTAAGCTCCCCTTAGGACAATCTTTGTAAAGATCTTTGCACGCCCAAGTTGTTCTAGAAGACCAGAGATCAAAGGTAGTGGGTAGCGATTCTTTTTTGTCACCTTGTTGAGACCTCGATAGTCCACGCACATCCGTAGTGAGCCATCTTTCTTCTTCACAAATAAGATTGGTGCCCCAGCTAGCGACTTCGAATGACGGATGAAGTTCTTGGCTAGATTCTCGTCAATGTACTTCCGCAACTCAGTCAACTCCGTCTGCGATAAATTGTAGATTGGTCCAAAAGGTGGTTGTGCTCCTTCTTGCAATTCAATGGCACAGTCATAGGGTCGATGCTCTAGCAGCATATCAGCATTCTTCTTTTTAAAGACATCTTTGAATTCTTCATACTGCTTTGGAATAACCAAAGTCGGAGTTGCATCTTCTCGAGTCGGAGTTGCGAAGATGAGAAGAGGTGTATTTTGCTTGGCTTCCTTCATGAAAGCCCTTGCACCTATAAACAAGGATTTGTTTCTAGACATTGTCTTGGCAGATTCCACCTTCAAGGAGTTTGTTGGAAATGTCACTTTCCGCAACTTCCAATCTATCAATGGATTATATCTATCAAGCCAAGATAGTCCCAAAATGATAGGACATGAAGGGGTCTTGATAACATTAAACACAATATTGCTCTCATGGTTTTCAAGACGTACCTTCAATGGTTTAGTTTCATGGATAACATTGCCCGAAGACAATGGTCGTCCGTCTATGACTTCTACATGGACAGGCTTAAGTTTCTTTACAAGAGAAATATTGTAAAGCTTGGCAAACTCTTCATCTATAAAGCAAGCGGATGCACCCGAGTCTAATAAAGCATCGACTTGTAGTTCTTGAATACCTAGATGTAAAGGTACCATAAAACAATCTGAAGGTTGAGCTGAGAGAAAGGGACCTTGATTAATTTTGGATGTTGAGATGTCCAACCGCACGGTCTCTATTGTGGCTGGGCGTCCTTGTTTTCCTGCATGCTTATACTCCTGAGTCTTGTTGTTTGAGGCTTCTGTTTCTTCCAACAATCTACAGCTTTATGGCCCGCTTCTCTACAATATAAACACAAGTTTTGTTCAAACCGTCGCTTCCTTTCCTCAGCTGTGAGGGGTTTGAAACGTACCGCATCAATTTGCATGGGTTCAGGATCTGTGGAGTGATTCTCTGGACCTTTTGAAAATGTAGCAAATGCTCCATCATTTTTCCAGCCTGATCGTCTTTCTTGTCGTAATTCAAAGAGGCGGTTGTCACAAATAATTGCCTGAGATATAAGTTCTTCTAAAGTATCCGCCTTAGGCATGGTGATCAATAAGTTATTGACATCATCTCTCAGTCCATATCGAAATCGTGTCATGAACGCCTTATCATTCCAATCAAGATCACATGTAAGCTGTTGAAATTCTGCAGCATAGATTGCAGTAGAACGTGATCCTTGTCGCAGATTTTGTATCTTTCTTTCAGCCACTCTTTCTCGATCGCTATCTCCAAACGCAGCAGTAAGTCTCTCTATGAAAGCCTCTAGGTCGTACAATATTGGAGAATCCTTCTCCAATAGTGGAGCAAACCAAGAGCGAGCATTTCCTAATAGAAAAGTACCTATGAAAGCAACCTGGGTAAATCCATTCGGATAACGAGAAGGATATAGGCGTAGTTAAAGCCGTACTTGTTGCACCAAACCTCGGAAGTTGGCTCTTGTTCCGTCAAACTTGTCTGGCATACTCGCTTTTGGTTCTTTCGTACTAATCCTTGAAGTATCTATAGGGGTCGTATGTGACACATGTTTTGCTTCTCTCAGTCGAATAATCTCTTGTTGTAGGCTATGAATTTCGCGTCTAGCTTCTTCGGTCACTAGATCAATTTGAGGTTCTTTACTTGGATTGCGAAGAAATGTAATCTCCTTTCGTACACTATTCATAAGAGCTTGAAGATCTGCAAGAGTTGCCACTATATTGTATACTTGTGGAGATGCACTGTCTATGACCTGGTCTACTTCCATATTTAGAGAATAGATGGATTAAAATTTTGAGAGAAGAAGAAATTTCTAAGTCTCTTGGAGAAAATTGTAGCACTACCTGTCACTAAAACCTACTCGGAGAAAAGAAAAAAAAAAACACTAAACGATTTTAGTTTTAGAGGAGGGTAATCCGCAACCTCTAAAAATGCCTCAATGCTTTCGAGAAGAGGGGTAATCCGCACTCTATCAAGAAGGCAAAGTTCTGAAATCGATGTTAACAGTCTTTTTTACTAGCTATGCTAAACAAAAAGAAAGAATTAATATCAGTCCAAGAGAGGGTAATCCGCAACCCTTAGAACGCTCAAGTATCTCCAAGGAAAGGGGTAGTCCACTCTCTGCCTCAAAGAACTAAGCTCTGATATTGTGATTGAGAAAATATCAGTTTAGAGGAAGGTAATCCGTAACCCCTAAAGCGCTAGAATACCTTCAAGAAGAGGGGTAATCTGCTCTCACACAAGAAGGATTCAGCTCTGATATTAAGATAAAGGTAGTCTCGACAAACTGTCACGGACCAAAAATACAAACAAGAAAACTAAACAAGAAGTTTAAGAAGAAATGACAAGAACTAGATTATCAGATGAGTACAAGAGCAATGCCAAGAGAATTGAGCTAGAGCTTCAAGAGATGTGTTGTCGAGACTGAAGAACTCTTCAGCCTCGACTCCTATATATACTACTGGCCTATGGTTCTAAGGAAGCGCATCAAGAAGCTTCCCAAGAACTATGAAGCTTCTCGAGCAACTACCCAAGAGCTAGGAAGCTTCTCAAGTAACTTCTTAGAATCTACTAGAATATTCTAAGAATCTTCTAGAGCCTTCTAAGGGAATCTTTAGGGAATCTTTAAAGAATCTTTAGGGAATCTTTAAAGAATATTCTAAGAGAATATTCAAGGAATCTTTTGGAAGTTTCTAGAGACTTCTTTCTAGAAGATTCTAGAAACTTGTCTCTAGAAAGGTCTAAGGACTATGTCCCTAACATAACCATGTACCTATGGCAATTTTAGAGTTTTATAGTTAAGTAAAGAGTCGAGTCTAAGAGAAAATTAAAGAGAGATTTTTTGAGAATTTATTTTAAGTGATTTGAGTTTGAAATAACTTTGTAAAGACTTTGAAAAATTAGGATTATTTTTGCAATATCAAGAAGATTGTTGTTGGTCCAAAAAAGTATGAAGCTTATTGCTATAAAGATCTTTGTTGTTTATTTATATCTTAGTTAGATTCTATTCTCTTCTTTGCACTAGTTTGTACTAAATTATCAATCCAATCCTCAATTGTATTTAAACTAACCTACCTCACTTTAGACTTATAATACTTAATATAAAATCAATAGAATGATTTAAAACCTTTTGCAATAGATTATATATTTCATCTCCTCTTTATATTCAAAATTTTAAAAGATACAATAACTATAGAAAATATAACTTTGTACTTCTTTTGCCTCCTATAAGTCAGCTTAATTTCCTAAATTATCCTAAGATGTCATGTGTATAATGTAGAAAATCCCAAATTTAGAAACATCTTAGAAAGTATCAAGTTGGCATCTTTTTAGTATCTTAGAAGCATCTAGAAAGAATCTGAAATATTCAAAATTCTAGTATTGTAGGGATACGTACATGGTCTAAAGAAGGTCCTCATATGGTCCAGATATAGGAAATACAGCCTGAATACGTACTGGATATGGCTTGATTTAGTACCAGCATAGTATAAATAGTATATTATAGTAGGAAGATGACATATGGAGTAAAATACGTATGAAAAAATATTACAGTCTGAATACACCAGATATGGTACTAAAACCATACAGATATGATATATGGAATACAAATATAGTATAAATCTAGTATGGTAGATATACGGTCGACGACGATCGAAATACTGTACGGTAGGGTGGAGACTACGATTTTTAGGCGTTGTGTTCTGCGGGGAATCCAAAAGCAGCGGTGGTGGCGGTTTTGTCTTTCCCATAGTTCTGCTGCGGTTTGGAAAAAAAGAATCTCTCCCTCGGTAACGGCGGCTCAGCAGTGCTGTCCGCTGCATGTGGTGTGGTTCTAGTATTTTCTTTCCCTTATATCGTTGGAGTGTTGCGGTGTAACACTGGTTTGTTTTTTCTTCCCTTTCTGTGTGCGGAGAAGCCTCGTTGGTGGTGGTAGTACTTCCAGTGGTGGTGACTCTCATAGTGGACGAAGCTTGGACTCATCAAGGGCTTCGTTAGGATCAAGTTCTGATCTTTTTACTGTGTAGCTTATCTTCATTGGACTTGCTACGAGGTCAAGCTGCTGTGGATGTGGCATTGACGGAATGGTTCTATTGTTTTTGTTGGTGGCTCAGCCGGTGGGTAGAGAGTTGGTGGTGGCGCTGGCTCCGCGCTGCCATTGTGTGGAGCGACGACAACCCTTGGTCTTCCGTTTTGATTCCTCAACGACTGTATGGCAGCATTGTTGCTTGTGCTGCAGGATCATTCGCGCTCCGCAGGTTTGTTGCTGTTGAACTAGGAGTAGAGCTTTGAATCTAAAAGAGGGCGAAGCGCTTAGGTGGATCTAGTTTTTTCCTTCCCCTTGTGATTGCGGCCCAACGAGGGTCAATTTTGTGTTCGAAGCGGTTGCTGCGCCGTTGTTCGGAGGAGCCAGTAATCTGGTCGCAATCGTTATGAACGAGCTTTGATTTCCCTCTTCCTGTTGGTGGTGTTGCGTTGAGGCTAGATTTTCTGTTCTTATCCGACCAACACAATTCTCCTCGTGAAGTTGCTCACATTGCAAATCAAAATTTCGAGAGATTTTCCTTGTCGGCATCCTGTGCTCTCCATCGAACCCTCGCCGTGGAGTTGTTATCTACAACCTTGGCTTCTTGACCACCGCATTGGTAGCAGCAACTATTGCCGATTTTGCGATACGACAAGTTGCTGATCAAGATCTCGTCATCATCAACATCGATTGTTATTTTCTGTCGATATCTCCGAATTGCCGGCTTCTAAGCGGTGGTCTTCTCATGTCATTTGGATCCGATTGTGACTTACTATGGGCTGCAGCCATCGTCAAGATTAAGTTCTGATTTTTGAAGAGATTTCTGAATGTGTTACAGTAGCGAATAGGAGCACGGTCCATTTTACTAGGTTAGGCTGCATGCTCATTGTTGGATAATTGGCCTTACCTTCGGTTATTAGCTCCCTCACGCATTGGAAGGGAAGTCCATTCACAAGCTGAGCAATCGAGAAGGCTACTCTTCACAAGGGGGGTTGTTGCTAATTGCTATTCCTAAAAGTTCCAAGGGAGAGTCGGGTGAATCCATGTTGGAGTTTTCTGCGAGTAATCCTCTGTGGTCGTGCATATCTTCATCGGCATAACCAATGTGGTCGGTTCAAGACGGCAAATCATTGCCAGACACCCAGCATCATCAGTAAGGAGGGTGAAGGACTGGAGCTGCGAATTGGAAGAGAGTGAGTCCTCCCACTGTGCACAGCTAGTTGTTTTTCTCCATCCTTCTTGGCCATTGTATAGAAGAAAAATAAAATAAAATATATGATAAACCATTTACATAGAATTTAAAATTGTCAAGAGGTGCCTTTAAAGTGGTGTTTAAAGTAGGTTTAAGTTGGATGAATTTAGGGTTTGAAAGGATGATAAAAAGTGGATGTAGCTAGATTAAGAATAGATGAATGAATTTGATAGATGATTTTTGGCTAAAGTGAATGAATTTTTATTTGTGGATGGAAAGTCATTTGCAGATGAAAACTCATTTGTGGATGAAAATTTTCCTTAGATGAAAATTAACTTGGATGATACTTTATACTAGATAAAATATAAAAATAAAAATTGTATTAAAATAAAATAAAAAACATAAAAACCAATTTCTTTTTAAATGTGTGTAGCTTTTGTATTGTTAAATGGCTTGTATTGTGCATTGTAATTGTTTGCATATGAATTTAATTTGTTAGAAAGATAAATATTTTTTATTAAGAAGTAAGAAGAATTTTTATTTAATCTCTTTTTAGTTAATTAGTAGTTGTGAATTAGAATAAATCACCAATTAAGGTGGTTTATCTTATCTCACAATTAAAATATTATATGACTTCTTGGACATTAAATCAAATATTAATCAATAATTGTTAGAATATTCAGATAATTAAATTATTGTGAATTAGAGTAGACTTTCAAGTAGTGAAGGTTTATTTTACTTTATATTTTGGTGTATTTGTAGGAGGTGAGGTATTTCTAACAATCTTAAAAGATAACTAGAGATTTGATTTAATTGATATTTATGTGCATAAATTCTAAAAAAGAAATTTAAGCTTGGAGTGGCATAAGGAGTTGCATTTTGAAGCTCCTCTATTCTTTGTACTATTTCTTTGCATCTTTGTATTTTTTTTATTTGGGGCCACTCTCTAGTAGTAAGAAAATTTAATTATCCCTTGCGTCTCTTCTCTTTACATGAATAGTATAGAAAAGAGTCCAATAAGGACTCAAGAGAATTTTTTATTAACAAAAAAGAAGAAGAATTCAAGAAGAAGTGGATAGAAAAAGATAGATAGGAAAAGTTTAGAGGGGAAAAAAAATAAAAATAAAAAAAAATAAAAATAAAAAAGATAAAAAAAGGTAAAAAAAGCAAAAAAATAATGAAAAAAAAAAATCAAGATCAACAATTCTAAGGTTGTTCTGTAAGATAAATACTTCTTCAATAGAAATTTTTAAATTTAAATTTATTTTTTCGCTATGACAAATTGAGATTTGACAAGAAGAAGCTTAAAAAGAAGGAATAGTGCCAATAGCTTAAAAACAAGTGAATCTTTGGACTTTTATTATTTTATTATATTCTTTGAAAATTTAGCAAATCATTTAAAAGCAAGGAGTGGCAGTTAGAACTTGGAAGGTAGAATCTAGGAAGAAGATGTAGATAAAAATAATCTTTAGAGCTGAATTATAGGTTTCTTTAAGAAGAAAAATAAAGACTTAGAAAATTCTTCTTATTCCACTTCAATTTTTTCTTTCAAATGTTTAATTTGGAATTAGATAGAAGAAAGTTGCATTTTGAGAATTCTTTAATATAAATCAAATTGGCTAGAGATGCAAATACATGAATCTTTAAACAAAGTGTAATTATTTCTTAAGAAATATTTTGGTGTAGTAAAATTTTGGTATTAATTATTATAATAGATAATGTTTTAGTAATCTTAATGTAAAGAAGCAAGAAAAAAATGAAAGCTCAAGCTTCTTGCCATCCCAATATAGATTTGTTTTTAAAAAATAATATTACTTGGAATCATTTTTTCTTACATGATCATATTATATATCAAGTAAAGTTGGAATAGTTTCTATACCATTCTTCTTTAAATTGTTTCTATTATGTTTCTCTTACTTATCAAAAGATACTTTAAGTAAGTTGCCAATAGGAAAGCCAAAATTTAGAATTATTTGTAAGATCGATAGATTAAGATCAAATTTAAGTTGAATAATATATCCATAGTTGTATAGATGCATTGTTCAAATAGATCTAAGCAATCCAACCTATCTTCATCCATATAGAACCTTAAAGCGAGGGTGAAAAAAAAAACAAATCAATACTCAAATGAATTGAAATCCAACAAATGAATTAACAACATCTACTTCTAATATCAAAGGATATTTTTTTATTAAATACTTTTGAATTGAATTTAAATAAATAACTAAAAAAAAAAGAAAAAAAAAATGAATTTCTTAATTTATTTGTTGATATAAATAAAGAGAGAGAAGAGTCAATACTTTTTTTTTAATGGAGCATGAGAGAGAATCTTCACTCACCTCTATATCCATTAATTCTTTGATTCAATCAAAGAATTTGTAAATTTTAATTCCAAAGGATTTATAAATAGTTCTTATATTTCACAACCTCTGTATATTTTTAAAAAATAGAGATAATGATCTAGTGGTACATGTAAAGAGAGTTATAGAATTTTCATGATATGTTTAAAAAATAAATTTGGTTATTTTTTTGTATGGATTTCTAGCATCTTAAAAGATGGAAGATAAAAATGGTAAAGAGACCATTTCTTCCAAACCTTTAAAAATTGAAACATGCTTATAAAAAAACTTTAAAAAAAAATAGATAGAAAATAGAACAAAGTAATGTCTTTTATGCCATTTCTTCTTTGAAATAAGAAAAAATGGAAGGAATCACCAAATATATTTGGTAATTTGAACTTATAGTAACCTAATTCATGGAAACTCTTTTCATGGATAATACCCTCACTCACATCTTCATTCAAGGATTCAATAATGAAGAAATAATTAGAGAAATTTTCAAGTAAAGACTAAATAATTTATAAAATTTCAAGAAAATAACTTGAGTCATTAAAGACATTGACAAGAAATAAGAAAAAATGTAAAGAAAAGAAGACCATTGGATCCCAAGTTTTATTCCTATCCATGTCCAAAACATCAATAATTTCTAGGGATATTTGTAAAGAGGTATAAAAAATCAATTCCAACCCATAAACCACTATTTGGCATCTTTAGAGGTTAGATTATCTTCTAACTTCTTTGAATTAATATATTCCAAAGATAAATATAGATAGAAGGAAGAATTTTAAAATGAAGTTTTTCAAAGCTAATGGATATTTTTAAATAAATTGAGACAAGAGATGAAGTGAAATAGAATGAGACTATCTCAAAAATCCAAAATCCTTCTAATTCACATTAATATAAAGCCTCATGATAAAATAGGACAAAATAGATTAAAACAAAACTAAATAAAACTAAATAAAATAGGACATGAAAGACCAAAATGAGAAAATAGAAACAGAATAGAATAGAATTGAACAAAAAGATGAAAAATCAAATTTTATTAAGAAGAAGGATCTAAGGCCATACCTAATCAGATGCCTCAAAAGGCCTTAGCTAGTCCTATTTATACCTTGTCTTATTACCTTAAACTTGCTAGAATGTTCTAAAATAGTGGATCCTATCTAAATAACCATCTGAAGCTTTTTTTAGAAGATTTTGTAGTAGACTCCATCTAAATGTTTATTCTAAATTCTTTTTAGAATGTTCTATAGTAGATTCTACTTGTTCCACTAATCTGATCTCAATTCTAGAAACTTCCATAGTTCAACTATCTATACAATTATTTTATCTATGCCCTGATATAATCAATTCTCTTCTACTAATGTAAAATATTCCTCTTTCATTCTTGATAGTATCTTCGAATTATCTTTTGGCAATAGATGAGGTTTTGTGCAGGTTTTTATGTTGCATTGAGAATGGAATAACCATTCAAAAGAACTTTGTACTGAAGTTGTAGACATCCACTGCCACGAGAAATGTAGCTATGTTCCAAAATGTTGTCCACTTCATATTCTTGTTAGTCATCAACTACAACTGGTAGTGGTGGTGGTTGATGTTAATCCAAAAAGTCCTTTGGCTCGATATAAAATTACTTCAATTATAAAACATGGAATATTAGATAGATCTTAATATGTGACAAAAATTCAAGGCAGTATGTGACATCAAAAATTACTACAAAAATATGGAAAGTTCGTAGCCACCGAGGTATTAGTTTACAAATTTGAGTTGATGTAGCAAGTAAAAAATTGGCGTTGAAAGATAATACGTAATAACCCTCCCAAAATGTCTTATATTATCGATAGTTATCAACATACTACTTCTATCAATTTTGTGTAATAAAGAAGTAATATCGTATATCTTGTAAGGCTATTATAAGTTGTTATATAAATTCCTCTATTTTTAGATTATTAGTATTAAAGGGACGGTGGAGAGTTATTGGCATAATTGGATGCTGACTTGTATTAAAGAAAAATGGTGAATGATTGATACTTGCTTGAATATTATTATTATAAGAAAATTCCAAGGACATCAAATATTCATCCTAGTCATTATGATGAGCCACCACAAATGCCCATAGCATATCTTCCAAGGTCCAATTTGTACGCTTTATTTGTCCATCTGTTTGAAAATGGAAGACTATAGAAATAGTAAGTTGTCTGCTTAGTAGCTTGAACAAGGCTTGTGAAAAACTTCTTATGAAGTGTGGACCTTGATCTAAAATAATAACATGAGATAATCCACCGTGACAAAAAAAAATATCAAAGATGACTCATACAAATATTAAGGCATTCATATTCAAGCATACCATGATGAAGTGAAGTTGCTTTGAAAGTTGATCCACAGAGACGGCAACCACAATATGATTATAAAGCATCTGTAGCAAACACATAATGAGTTCCATAGTCACCTACTTCCAACATGTTATAGGAAGCAAAATTGGTTATAATAATCGAAGAGATACTACGTTGCATACTTTATTACATTGACATAATTTACAAGAGCGTACAAAGGCTCAAACATTACGATCCAAACTTGCCCAAAATCATATGCTTGAGATCCATTCTAGAATCTTTTCTTGTTGTAGATGTTTAGATATTGGAATGTGATATCCCTCCTGAAGTATGCCCGTCTGGAGTTTAGTATTATCAGATATATAAATTTACTTTTTGAAATAGAGTAAGTCATTATTAAGAGTGTAATCTTGATATTATATATTGCTCACTTTTTGCTAATCACTAATCATCTTGAAATAAGCATTCCACTGCATAGCTTCTTTAATTTTTGCTTCTTTAGTTAGATTTACAATGACACTACTAGTAGTAGCGACTTTTGCCTTATTTCTTGATTTTTCCTTCAAGTAAGGTCTCCTCGATAAGTCATTTGACACATTATGTTGT